CGCCCCCTCTTACCACGGTCCACCTTCACATACGTATAGAACGTTTCTTCTTCGTAAAGTTCGCTTCATATACACTACTTTCAACACACTTACGAGTGCATATGTATATATGCATTATATATATATATATATATATATACATATACACACAAAAGTGTGCTTATTCTTTTCTTTCTACCTTCTCCTTCCTTTGTCTCTTGCTTTCTTTCTTTCTTTCTTTCTTCCCTACTTTCGTTCGTTCTCTTTTCATCCCTATCTCTCTCATTTTTTCGATGATGATGATGATAATGAAGATGATGATGATGATGATGATGATGATGATCGTACGTTCGTTCGTTCGTTCGTTCTCTTTCGTACGTTTTCGTTTACCATTCGTTTACCTCGACCTTCTTGTCGATCTATCTCTTTCTATTTATTTTTGTTTTTATTTCTCTCCACCACTCTACGGCACCTTTTTTTCTCTTTCTTTCTTTCTTTTTCTGTCCTACCTTTCCATGTGTCTCAATTATTATACGACGTTCCACGGACTCTCCTCTCTCTCTCTCTCTCTCTCTCTCTCTCTTCTCTACATTCTCTTGCCGTGAGAGAGGATGAGAAAGATGAAAATGAGAAGGTGGTAGTGGTGTAGTAGTGGTGGTGATGGTGGTGGTGGAGATTGTGGAAGAGAAAGAGGATGAGGATGAGGATGAGGATGAGGAGGAGGAAGAGGAGGCTAGCTTTATACGTGGGTGAACGGGAAAATGTCTTTTGAAACCTTTCTAGGTCGCTCTCGATCGTTCCCCTTACCTCTCCTCTCCTCTCCTCTCCTCTCCTCTCCTCTCCTTCGTCTATCTTTCTCTTTCTCTTTCTTTCTCTTTATTTTTTTCTTTTTTCTATCTCTTTCTCTTGACATCCCTCGAGCGAAGCTCAATTCATATACACTCGATTTCGCATTCGATCCTATCCGAAATGTTTCTCTCTCTCTCTCTCTCCCTCATTTTCTATATTTCTATTTTTTTTTTTTTTAAACCAAATTTTATTCTAATCCATAAATTTCTAGTAGGGAAACATTCCCTCAACCCTATTCTTGAAATTGAATACAATTCATGTATTTATATTTATATTTATCAATGCTTTCCTCCTTACAATGTTTATTTATTAATTTATACTTAAAAATGCCCTTTAAACTTTCATCTCATATTTTCGTACATATACACATACACTTACACATATGTGTACACGGTGTATATATATAAATATTTACACACACAATAAGTCATATTAAATATCGATTTGGATTTTGTTATCGTTAAAATGTCATCGCTGTATATACAACACACTCACACAATATTTATATATATATATATATATACGTCATATTATATATGTCTCATATGTACCAATGTACCACACGTGTGCATATATGTATACGTTCTTTCATATATTTTTTGTTCTTTATTCTCCTCTCTTTTATCTTCCATTCTTTATCTTTATTTCTTTCTATACGAGTCTCTCTTTTCTGGTCGTCCTCCGGAACTCGATCCTTGAAATGCCTCGAGGAAAGAAGAATAGGAAGAGAGGGAGAAAGGAAAAGAAAGAAACGGAGAGAAAGAGAAAAAAATAAAAAGAGAGAGAGAGAGAAAGAGAGACTCGCAGTTGGTTCGACCGAGAGACAGAAATACGAGGAAAGAGAATAACGAAGAAAAAAGAAGAGAAAGGCACACACTCTATATATCTATACATATACATATACATATACATATACATATACATATACATATACATATACATATACATATACATATATATGTGCTTCTATATATCTTGTCTTTGTATGTGTATCTGTTGTCTGTCCATCCGTCCGTCTGTCTGTCCATCCGTCCGTCCGTCTGTCCATCCGTCCGTCCGTTTCTGTATGTGTGACAGATAAAGGGAGAATGACAGAGATAGAAAAAGAGATAAAAAGAAAGAGAGAGATAAAAAAAGGATAGAAAAAGAGAGGTAACATAAAGAGAGAGAGAAAAAGATAAAAAAAGAATAGAGAAAAAGATAGGTAGAAAAAGAGAGATGGAAAGAGAGATAGAAAAAGAGAACTAAAGAGAGGGACGGAAAGAGAGAGAGAGAGAGAGAGTCAGAAGAGGAAAGGCGTCTCTCTCTTTTTCTCTCTCTTTTTCTCTCTCACCCAGCACGACGCGAACACGGCAAGGCCGAGGAGAGAAGGAACAGTAAAATTGTGGAGAATGTGTACGCGCCATCAGGGTGGCCTAGATTCGGTCAAGACCTGCTTTCTAGGCAGCATTTCTCTTTATCACCGGCTACGCCGGTGTACAACTCTCTGTCTCTCTTTCTTTCTCTTTTTTTTCTCTTTTCTCTCTTTCTACTTGTGTATATTTCTTCTGTTTATACGTTTGTGCGTATGCATGCATGATACGTTTGTATCTGTATGCATTAATATATGTATCCTATGTGTGTGTTTGTAGGTAGTAGGTAGGTACGCGCGAGCATGTTGGTGAACGTTCGGTGGGTTCGCGATGCCAGAGAAAATCCTCGAATGCAAGTATATATGCACGGTTTTTGTGTTATGTGTGTGTGTGTGTGTATGTACGTTGAATTGTATTATACTCCGTTGACTTGTATGTGTTGTGTGTGTTTTCTTGTATATGTTGTGTACCGTGGAGAAGCGACGCAGCGGGAATTGACCCTCGATTTTTAGTGTCGCTTAGTCGTACTCGCAATCGAGTATGTTCCATGATAAACTTGTAGAATATATCGTGGTTTTAGACTTTTTTTTTCTTTTTCATTTTTACGAATTTTATTTATTTTTCATCTAGGATTTATTTCTTTCTGCCATTCTTTTTTTTATTTCAAAAAGATGGAAAGAAAAAACGCCCTCCTCCCATTAAATTTGTATTTTGATAGGGCTTAATTACAGTTATATTTAACAATATTATCTGTAACTGTATCTTATTTTATATTATTTTTAAAGAATTCGAAAGGGTGAAATTTATCAAAGAACAAATAGAATTATATTTGAAAATAATTGTATAAAAAACAACGCTGAAACACACTGGTTTTTCATCCACTTCTGTTTTTCATTCTAAAAAAATAGACGGAAAGAAAGACCCCCGAAAGAGAAAACAACCACTAAGATTTACATATATATCGTTAGGGTTGCGTTAGGTTATGCTCCACGATACACAACCTATAGACTCTTTTTCTCTTTTTATTCTTTTTTATATTGTTTTTTTCAAACATTCACATAGATAGAAAGTATCGAAAAACAATTCCAATCATTATTGTTACGATTTTTGCATGATGCCGTTTTTTTTACTCGATTTTCCAAAATTTTGCTACATTTTCTTTTTCAAAAAGAAAAAGAACCGAACAACTAATGAAATTTACACGCGTGTAGTATGTATGTATATCGTGAATCACTTCCCCTAGGTCACGAATGTTTCTTACGGTTTTAATATTACTCTCTTTTTTCTTTCTTCTCTGAATAACGTATTTTTTTATTTTTATTTCTTTTTCTTTTTTAATATGTAACCAGACACACACGGTCTGATCTCTTCGTCAAGTTCGCGCGTTCATTCGCGGAATAAATGAAACTAAGCGGCTGTTGCCACCGTCACGCACAGCAACAAATCGACACGCGATATATACCGAATTATATATAGGTGCATATATGGTCTCTGTGTGTATTATTCGATATACATACATACATATGTAGGATAGATGCAAACATACAACAGAAAAAGAGAAAGAATGAAATCTCAAGTAAAATCTTTTGAGGAAAACTTTCACAATTTGTTTATCACCGATTAATTCAAAATATATAATAATAAAAAGATAATTCTTATATGGATACTATAAGTTACTTAGGAATTAAAGAAATATATTTGAACGCAACGTAAACAAATTTATAAAAAGAAATGAGAAATATTTGTAACGTGGTATTTAAATTTAAATAGGAGTACTACGTTAGTCATGAGGATGTTTTAGGCGCGAGAATAATTCGTCGATTATTGGTTGGTTATCGGGAGCACGTGACCTACCGTAATCGACGGCATTTCAAACGCGGAACGTGGCAAAGGCAGGCAAATTGTCACGCGAGAAGAAAAGTAATAAGAGAGAGAGAGAGAGAGAGAGAGAGAGAGAGAGAGAGAGAGAAAGAGAAAAGAAAGAAAACAAAGGAGAAAGAGATAAAAAGAGAGAGAAAGAGAGCTTTTTAATTCGTCAGAGACAGAACGACAGGTCGTTTAACGCGTCGTAGATTATTGTCACGTACTCCCACGCACGCTTACATTGACCGTTTCACAGTGTAATCTGGTATACACGCATACACACATAGATGCACGCGTGTATATATGCGTGTATCGAACGAAACGCACAGCTGTGCGTCGTTGATTCAAAACAATGTAAAAGAAAATGTACGAAGCATGCTTTCGAAAAAAAAAGATCGATAGCATTGAACAACAAAAAAATACTCTTTTTTATACGACGTCGATGTACGAGCGCACAGAAAAAAAAATAAATAACGTAAAGGGTAAAAATGAAATAAAATGAAAGAAATAAAAGAAAAGGGAAAGAGAGAGAGAGAAGGAGAGAGAGAGAGAGAAGGAGAGAGAGAGTGAGGAGAGAGAGAGTGAGGAGAGAGAGAAATAGACATCGATCAGAAAGTTTAGGAAAAGAAAGCTTCGAACGGAGATAGGATTGAAAGAGCTGTGTACTGCTGCTAGTTTGTAGAGATACTGCACGAATCAAAACAAATCAGGTCCACGCGTCCGAGGGCGCGAAAAGGCCGCCAATTCGAAAATCGAAACATTAATCATCAAACGCGCATTCTTATAAAGTGTCTACTTTTTTGTTTTGTTTTTATTATCGTTAAATTGAATCAAATATTTATATGTAAATATACGAAATATACGTATAAGCGCCCGAGAGAACGTATAAAATACCTGTCAATTTATTTCGAATAGCGAAAACGTGAAGAAAATAAAATAATTAAAATGCATTCTTACCTTACCATGACCTGACCCAAAAACGAAGCCAACAGCACCGTTGGAAGAACAATTTGATCGTAGTTGAAATATATCAGCGAGTCCGAAATAATAGGAATAATATGAATAAAAATGATATTGCCGGCACACATGCACTTTTACACCTTGTAATAATGTTCTTAGTAGTCTGGCTAAGGAATGCCTTTTGAATCGTCCGTTTTGCCTTCGACCGTGCCTTCTCCTTTACTGCTTCTTCTTCTTCTTCTTCTTCTTCTTCTTGTTCTTCTTCTTCTCCTCTTCCTCCTTCTCTTCGTCTTCGTCTTCTTCTTCTTCTTCTACTTCGTCTCGACCAATAAGAGACTCCAGCTTCACGATACTTCTCCTTTACTTAACTCTGAGATTATATTTTAACGATTAATAACAACCACGACGACGACGACGACGACGACGACGACGACAACGACAACGACGACGACGACGACGACGATGTTGAGGAGGACTAAACTATGTTGTAAAACAATTCAGAGTTTAAATAAAATAATTTTTTCATACTTTTTCTATTAATATTTCTATAAATATTATTATCTTTTTTAAACAATTATTTGTTCACACACCATAATCACACTTGACACATCGATGTTGACGATATGACTACAACAACACAACGACGACGACGATGACTATGACTACGACTACGACTACGGCTACGACGACGACGACGACGACGACGACGTCGACGACGATAAAACGTAAGAATACGTAGAGCAATTAAATGCAATAATAATTATTTACTCGCGTTTATATACTTGTAGAAAGATATCCTCGAATAAGACACACTCAGTTATAGGAAAAATATACGCAGAGCGCGCGCCGACAACGACTGGCAGCTGTCACTCGCAGTTTGCCCGTGAAAACGTCGTCCCGCGAACTGTTCCGGCGAATCCTCGGCGTTACCGAGAGCGAGAGACAGAGAGAATGATAGAGGGAGAGAGAACAACTCAACGAGTGGGAGCGAGTGAGAAAACGATATTGAAAGGGAGGGAGAGAGAGAAAGACTGAGCGAGCGCGCTTGCCTCAGAGCGAACGAAAGAGAGGGAGAAAGACCTTTGGAGAAGGAGAGATATATATACGTGTTATATATATATATGTACGTATACACACGTTTCATACCTGTATACCTATATATACCTATATATATATATATATATATATATATACAAATGGAGAAAAGTAGAAAGATAAAAGGAAAGAGATATATAGATGAATTCTATAAGAGCGAGAGAGAGAGAAACATACACATATACACACTAGGGGACATCGCAATGGCGACAGTGATGGCAATGGTGTGGTGGTGGTAGCAGTGGCGGCGGCGGCAACGGTGAACGTCGTTCCATTGCGGACGGTGGCGCAAAACGATTAAGCGATTTTCTTCTGGACTATGATTCTTCTCTTCTCTTGTCTTCGTCGTTGTCTTCGTCGTCGTCGTCGTCGTCGTCGTCATCGTTAGTGTTTTCTTTTGTCGTCGTCATTTCGTCATGTAGTTCTTTTCTTTTTTTTCTATCTTTGTCTCTTTCTCTTTGTCCCTATTTCTATCTCTTTCTTTCTTTTAGTCAGTTTTCCACTTCTCCCGCGCCGCTTTCGCCGGCTACGATACGCGCTGAACGCGCCCCTGAACGGAAACCAGGCTTTTACCACCCCCTCGCCTACCAACAACACCACCGTTACCTACCGAGATACATCCCTTCCGCCTTTATGTCGCTTCTTGCTCCCCGTACCAGGAACGTATCTAGTAACCTACCGTCGCGCCACTTCACTGGAAACTAACCTTTCTTTATTTTCCTTTTTCGGTTTTTCTTTTCTTTCTTTTTGTATATTTGATTTTAGATTTTCTTTCTTTCTTTCTTTTTTTTTTTGTATTCATGGTATTATTATTTCTTAGTTTTCATTTATTATGATTATCATTGAACGTTTTTATTTTATTCAATTTTGAATTTCGTATCATCTTTCTAGGAACTTATCGATCGGTAATTATTTGAACTCGCGCCTTTACCGATTGGGGTTTGAATTCAATTCCATGGATTTGAATTTTTCTTACAGTTTAAGATTTAATCATTTTTCGTATGTTGAAATAGAGATTTTCCTCAATAAGAAAAATCTTTTATTGATGAACAAAATATTATTTTCTTTTTTTTCTAATTTTCTTAAATACTTTTCATGAAATAAAATTAAAAATATTCATACAAATTTTTCGCCTATCTAGTTCCATTTAACATAAAGTAATAAATCCTATAGATAAAATTAGTACAAATATACGTATCTGTATTGTTTTGTAAATACTAATAAAAATAATATTAAAAGACGATTTTAAGATTTACGTTGAGAAAGAAAAAATGTAGGTAATAAAATATGAGTGTACGGCCCTATAGTAGTTCGCCATTCTCTTTGCCCTACTATTCGCATTTTCGTTGCGCAGAAGACTAATTTCAATTCTCTGCGCCGCGTCTCCCCGTAAGGGACTCACCGTTTCCGTGCGTCCCTGCCGCCCGCGCGCAGAGACTTGTCGATCGTTACCGCGCAGTACTACGGCCATTGTGTTAAAAGAAACCACGACGCTCAGATAGTGAACGCAGAGGACCGGGGGCGCGTAGTTTTTCCAAGTTTTTCCTCCTGTGATATTTAGATTGTGCCAATATAGGTGAGTCCATATTAATCGCATTTACTTTTATTAAAACTTTCATATACCTAATTAGATTTTATTAAATTCATAATTATTAACCTAAAATTATAGTTTTAAAAAAGGAAAAAAAAGATAATAGAAAAATTTAATGTAAGAAAAAAGAACGAGGTCATTTTTAAGGTTATTTCCACAATGTACGTTAAAGTTAGTTTTATGGGGAAAATTGGATCTTTGTTCCGCCATGACGATTTTGATCTCGTTCAAATTTTTCATCGACTTTTTCTACTAACTTTTTCCATAAGATTTAATTCAATTATATTCCCTTACATACGTTTTTATTGAGAACTTATGTGAGAAAAAAAAAGATTGTTTCAAAGAACGTTTGAAATAGGTAATAACAATTATGCATTCGTGTCATTAAATTAAGATTAGGAAGGATTCGATTTTCCGGCACGTTTTACGGAGTTTTCGCCATTTTGTCTTGAACCATTCCACATTGTCGGCCATTACGTACGTGTGTCTCAGGACCTGATTCAGGGCCGGATACGATTGTCTTTTTAGATGTTAATATGTTATTCACTTTTTATTAGCCATTACAATTTTACCGGTATGATATATACATGTATATATATATGTTTCTCTCTCTCTCTCTTTTTCTGTCCTTGAGATACATAGCTTAACGACCTTTGCATGTTCGACTGTTACGTTTTTTATTTTTCAAACTGTCGTTTACGATGACAACATCCAAATCGACTATTTAACATCATTTAATTGCATTATGTTTCCCCATTTAAAGCAAGGAAAATAGTCAAATAAATTTCTTTATCGATTGTAAATATGTACATAAGTTATAATATCAAAATAATACGTTAGCGTCTATACACGTATATACAATACGTATACAGTATTTGAAAATAACGAATGTTTTCCTTTCCAATAATCGTGCTGGTTAGATGAAAAAGTCAAGAAAAAAACCAGGAAGGACGCTGATATAAGCTTTTATAGAATTAACTATATTACAATTTAATTAAAAATATATTTATCAGTTATAAGAATAGGTCAAATGTTATTGATGGTCGATGTTTGGATCGAACGAATTTTTTTCTTATTCTAACAAACTTATTACTCTCATGTAATTAAATGAAAAACAACTGTATGTATGTATTTAGTTATTTCGAATGAACTTGTAAGAGATCGTAGCGTCCATAGGGGAAAAAAAAAAAGAGGGACCACAAAGTTCGCGTCGATCTCATAGTAACTTTTTCTTTTTCATTTCTCTAGATTTGTTTCCTTTTTTTCCTTGGGAGAAGTTAAAGCGCATGCTCTAGAAGGTTTCCTTCTTTCCTCGTCTCTTTCACATATCCCCTCGTGGAAACCGTTTCTTCGTCGTTCGTCGTTCGTCGTTAGTTCGTTCGTTCGTTCGTGCGCCTCCCACCATCAAATTTCTAGTTGAAAACAGAGAGAGTAAGTGAGTAAAAGTATAAGAGATAGAGGGAACAAGCGAGAGACGGAAAATATGAGCTTGCGCTCTCTGACGGCCGTCGAGAGAGTGACCGAGCAACCGTGTGCCGCGCCATTGTTGAAAAGGGCAGCGCTGGAGACGCACGCCGATACTCGGACGTCCGTTAAAGGAGTAGTTTTTTTTTTCTCTCTCTCCACTTTTCACCGATACCCCCCGATTGCTGTGATATTAGATTCATTTTTTATACACACCCTATATTAGGTGAGTGGTAATCAATTCAAACAAAACAATAAAATATCTATCTAATAACCAACACTCTTACAGAGACTGTGGTGATAATCTAATCGAATATACATAAATACATACACACACACACATATAGATAAAGCACGTTTATCGTACATACATACACATATTTTATATAAATAGTATATTAGTTAATAATATTCGCGGTTAGATGAAAATTGCGGAAAATCCACGAAAGGCCGGCTGACATGGTGCGGGCGTTTCCCCTTCACCTTCGTCGTTCACTTAACCACACTACTACTATTACCAACCAAACTATTATAAAGATTATATTTAAGAGAGAAATCGTGTTACGTGTAAATGCGTTTCGATAAACATTCAACGTTCGTTCCTTAGTGATAAAGAGATTTGGGTAAAGGGGAAGGAGTATCATATTGGAAAGTACACGTAAACGATTTGCGCTTTTTATTACGAGCTTTTTGCCCATCGCCATTTTGTCCGGGCGCTAGTTCGCCGTCGGCCATATTGCCGTCCACGTCTCGTCACGTCTCTTCTCTCTCACTCCTCGTTCTTTCTCATTCTTATTCTTATTCTCTCCATTTTCTTCTCACTCTTGTATATATACCCACACATGCACACATGCATATGGATATGAATATGTATTCCTTGTTTTCTTGTCTTTCTTTTGTTCTATGAACTCGTATGTTTTATCTTGCTCATTCGTTACTATTTCCAATTCTATTATTAAGTGTGCATTAACGTCACGTAAAGTTTAATGTATAGATGATATATGTATTTTTGTACGTGTTGATCAGAAATGAGTAATCGTGTGAAATAGTCTAGCGAAGGTAAATTAATTGTCAACAATTCGTTGTTTTCGTTTAACGCACGTTGCACCGCTGGGGCGCCGTCATGACGTAACGCAACTCTGGTAGTAGATAACAATATAAATAGATTACGTAATCAGACTGTCCATCGTAGTCGTCGTTCTTAAACTTCTTTATTTTTCACCTCCTTGTCTCTCGTCATAGTGTGAAGAAGTGTCGTGTCGCGTCGTGTTGTTGTTGGTGGGGTGTAACATCTTTCTTTTAGGTTCGTACATTTCGTTTGTATGATTTTATTAACTTATATATCGTCTGTCTTTTTTCCATCTCTACTTTCCTTTATCCCCACTATCATTACCACCTCCTTCACCTCCTAGTTCTACGTCCGTACCACCATCCCCCCTCATCTCGTACGGATTACCCGTGTTTCTCGTCTCTCTGCGCATGTGAGAAGTGAGGGCAGGATCGATTTGCCGCTTTATTGCGCGTCTCTCTGATGTAAATCCCGGTGACGTAAATCAGCTTGTTCTCTCGTCTCGTCTCGTCTCGTCTCGTCTCGTTTCGTTTCGTTTCGTTTCGTTGCGCCACGATTCAACACACTTGTGCCTGTTTTTCTTCTCCCTCTCCTCTTTCTCTATCTTTCTATCTTTCTCTTTTTCTACCGTGTTTTTTATTCTCTACTTCAAACCGTCCCTCTCTATTTCTCTCTCTCTCTCTCTCTCTCTCTATCCCTCTTTCTATCCTTGTCTGTCTCTCTTTATCTTTACTATACTTTTCATTAAACTCGAGCCCCGAGGCGCCATGGCAACTCCACGTCTATTATCAATCTGTGTTAGTTCATCGTTTGCGAATTTGCTGATTATATCGCAAGATTCTTCGGATAACCTATAAAATATTAAGGTTAGATTTACGACTTTATTTTTTCATTTTCACATGCTTAATAGAACATATTATCAACTGCATTCCTTCATACGTGCATATGTTTATGTACAAACATATTCTAATTTTTCTAATTCATTTGTTCTTTTATTGAGGTCATTAAAATTTTTCCCGAGATAAAAAAAAAGTTTTTTTCTGGGGCCTAAAGAATAAAGTAAACGCCCCTGGGTCCCAGGGGGCCTCGAGTCGACGCTTAAGTCGTGCGCAGAAGTCGACTTTCTTAAGTGCGCATGCGCTGTGCTTGTGCGTCCTCTCCTGCATCATCCCCACTACCCACCAAGTTGCACGGTTATACCGTTACCCAGAGGGACACGCACAAAGAAAAAGGCCCAGGAGGAGAGATAGACTGTTCGGAAGAGCGACGCGCGCTTGCATCATACCGGCCATTTTAGAAGCTTCGGTGCTTCGTTCCGGAGCTTTCGATTACTTCGCCGCACGCCTATTATTCTCTCTGTCTCTATTTGTCTTATTATCTGACTCTCTTTTGTGTTCCAACTGGAAACGGCGGGGGAAGACAATACTAGAAAAAGCAACACGCAAATAATAAAAAAGAAGATAGAGATAGGGATTGAAAGATAGAAATTTACAGACAAATAGGAAAAAAACGTGCTGCCGTATAGGTGCGCGTGTCGTTTGTCGGCTCGATGTACGATTTAATTATTAAACGTGGAAAGTATAGATAGTATCGGGCGTGTTCGTGAATAATCGTTATTTTCGTCTTCCATCATCAGTTTAATTCACGAGTAAATTATTAACACCTATTTAAACATCATTATAAAATATATTTAAAAATCAATCACAAAATAATGGACTTGTTTGTTAATGGGTGTGTTTTCTATTTAATTTCACAGAAACGAGGAAACGATATATCAGAGAAGATGGTTGATGACCAGCAGTTCTGCCTTAAATGGAACAATCATCAGAGCACACTAATACAAAATTTCGACACGCTTTTAGAGAGCGGTACGCTGGTCGACTGCACGTTAGCAGCGGAGGGGAAATACCTAAAGGCCCACAGGGTAGTCCTCTCCGCGTGCAGTCCATATTTTGAGGTAAGTTTTATTCATAATCTTATTCTTTTCCGTCCTTTTACATAATCCAATTATTTTCTCATAAACAAGATTTCCAACGTTAACGTAATAAAAAAAAAGGAAAAAACCGTACACCCACGTATCTTGCTATTGCGCGAATTATTTCGGTAATATACTTAATTCGTACTTTTTTTTTTTAATCTCCTTTAATAAGATAATATTGTTCATTTTAATTACCGGATTAAGTTATTGCAGATAAATTCAAATTATTCGTTATCTTCTTTTCTGGTTTACTGTATCGTTAATTAATTCAAAATGTAGATTTAATATTTGTTAAAATATATTTCTTAATATTTTATCTATTACTTCTCTTTCCGTCTCTCTCTCTCTCTCACTCAGTACAGAGTCAGATCAATACCAAATACATAGGTGAGAGAGGGAGAAGAGAACGGAAGGGGTTTGTCTGGTGGTTCATAGGGGAAAGGGAGTTGTGTTAAAACAAGATGGCCGCCCTCTGCTGTACTTGTTCATTCTCTGTCTCTCTCTTTCTGGGTGGGAGAGAGAGAGAGAGAGAGAGAGAGTGAGTGAGTAGCAAGAGCCAGACATGAACCCCCTCTCTATCCCCTCCCCCCGTACTCTTGATCAATACAGAGAAAGCAAAATGGCTGCTTTCCAGGGCACTTCCCTGGGATTTTACCCTGAACTCCGCTATCGATGGTTGGGGAGTAGGGGGATGGGGTGATGAGGAGAGGAGGTTTTAAGAGGTAGCAAGATGTGTGTATGTGTGCGTTTCATATTGATTGAAATTCAAGTCGATTTAAATTGAGCACCGGATAGTATTACTTATTAATCAATTTGATATTACAGCATTATTTTTTATTGGACTGGTTTCATTTGTATTAACTTTTTATTTCGTATATACATACTTATTATTTTTGTTTTTCTTAAACTTAATTTGTTCTCATAAACGAGAGAGAGAGAGAGAGAGAGAGAGAGAGAGAGATTACATAGGATTTTATTGAATTGTTTTCTATTAGAGAAAATTTGTAGGTATTCTTTTTATTTTGATTTGTGCTTTTTTCAAAATTTTGAAATTTAATTGAAAAGCTTTGAAAACATAGTTGTTATTTGTAATATAATTTAGAAACATTAAGTTCAATTTGTACAAGTTTCACTTATGTTATGTAACGATTAGGTCATAATGAGTTAATGCGTGCATACCCATACACAAACACACACGCTTATCTTATATTGAGTTGTATAAATTATATCTATGATAATGAGGAATAAATTGGTATGATTTCAGGGCCTTCTCAGTGAGCACTACGATAAGCACCCTGTATTCATACTCAAAGATGTAAAATTTAAAGAATTGAAGGCAATGATTGATTATATGTACAAAGGAGAAGTTAATATATCCCAAGACCAACTAACGGCACTCCTTAAGGCTGCCGAGTCATTACAAATTAAGGGCCTTTCGGAAAGTAAAACGGGTGGTAGTAATGGTAATAATAAATCACTTTCGAGGGTATCTAAAGTCCCTCCACAACCAAGGTCATCGCCTTTAAATATTTCCTACGCGTCTGCCGGTCTCAACATTGAAAGGAACAGAGTTCCCAGACAGGCAAGTTCAATAGGAGATTTGCCAGAAGATTCGCACAGTCCTCAAATACCTAAGGAACATTCTTCGAGGTAAGAAACACAATCTTACCTTTAAATATTATTATTTGGTATATGTTTGATGTTAATAATTTCTTAGAAAATAATCTGAAATAATTATATTAATAATAATAAAATATATACTCCCCCGAAGAGGCGTTAGCAAAAGAGATTGTGTTTTAATGTAAATATATTTTTAATCATAATAGCAGGGAAGGTTCGCAAAGTCCAACATCAAAAAGAAGAAGAAAACTTAGAAGAAAAAGCGCCGGTGAAGATACTTCTGTTGAAAATCATGAAGCATCGGACTCCAACGATATACCTCAACAAATGGGCGTGCCGGCACTTGCGATAGCACCTGTCGCGGACGAAAAAACGAATGCGGATCCAACGGACTCTCTCGGCAGGTCAACTTTAATGACACAGCTAACAAAACCTGCCGATGAGATGCTACAGGTTAGAAATCCAAATTTCCACAATCTGTTTTTTCTTTTTTTTTTATATTTCCATTTCTGAATTAAGTACAGAATAGCGAACCAAAGATGTTTTTTTTTATAAGTAGTAGTAGTAGTAGTAGTAGTAGTAGTAGGTAGTAGTCAGTGGATGTCTAATATATGGAACCTACATGCTATTGAATTGAAACTTCTTAGGATTTTTGTTTCTTTTTTTTTTTTTAAAGGGACCACGTTGAATTTAATCTAAGAATATATTCGATTAAATATCGAAAGTAAACAGTATTTTGATTCTTTATTCTGTACAAATTTTCAATACGCATATATTATGTATTGTTTATATTTGTTGTTTTTGTCTTTCTCGCCAACGTTTCTAATAGATCTTGAATTCTTACCTTATTCATTTTCTTTCGCTCGTTGGTATATTAAACTTTCGTACTATATCCTTCTGCTTGTTAGCCTATCAATTAATGCTCTTGCAGACGGGAAACGGTACGAAACACGATTCTCATAAATTTCTATATAACGTTCCTTTTTTTTTTGTAATAAATTAAAAAAAAATATATATATATATATAAATTAACATCGAATTGTAATTAATCTTTAGATGCCACTAGAAAATCCTGAACCAAGCGATAATCTCATTGAGCCAAAGTCCGAGTATATGGAGGACCAGGAAGAAAGTGTCGAAGATTTGACGCTGGATGATGACATGAATGAATTAAATGAGATTGAACGGGATACGAACAGAGCAGGACCTTCCCATGACACGTCCCAACATCCTGGTAAGCAATAAGAAACAATATTTCTCATTTATTAATTTATTCATTCATTAATATTTGTTAGTTCGTTAATTTTATTCTTGTCGACCTTGATAATCATCAAATTCCCCCCTCCCCCTGCCTTTTCCTCACCGTTTTTTAATTTGAATTACCAAATGCATGTGATTTTGTAAAAAACGTTCGAGAAGTCCGTTTATATATTTATCTTTACTCCTACCCAAATAAAAAAAAAAACATTAAAGAAACTGTAATAATAATAACAACAACAACAATATTAATAACAATTATAATTAGCATAGATTTTTATATAAATGAACTATATATTATATATATGTCATATTCGGTGGACGGTTGAAATGTTAACAACAAAAATGTTTGCATAAACACGAAGAGTCTCTTATAGAACAGGAGGTGGTCACACTTGCTAAAAAAAAAAGCAGAACATATATACATATATATATTATTATTATAAAAGAATCTTCTATCCGAAAGAAAAACAAAAAAAAGTATTCTTGAATAGGAGAACAGCTTCTTCTTTTTCACCACGGATTAGAATTCTAAGTTCCCAGTTAGAATTCTTAATTAGGTGCTTGTGCAAGATGATCTTCAGAATGTTAGGATTTTGGGAATTTTCATTCTTCCTCTCTCTCTCTCTCTCTCTCTCTCTCTCTCTCTCTCTCTCTCTCTCNCTCTCTCTCTCTCTCTCTCTCTCTCTCTCACCCTCTTTTTATCTTTTTCTGTAACAACGACGACGATGACGATAATGATGTTGATGTTGATGATGATAATGACAACGTTAAATCATCATCACCATCATCAATATCCTCAATTGTCATGACTATAGAGCTATCAAAAAATGTACATACATATACATTATATATTATTAAATTGATTTTTGGTGTCGCGGTGCTTGTTGTTCCTTTCGTTATGTGTTTTGATAATACCATTTTAAAAAAATAAAAAATATACTATCGCGGGATTAAAAATTAGCCGACACTAGCTTGGGTTTCCTCGTTGCAGGTGGGGGGGCGGGAGCGGTATCGCGGTCTCGAGGGTCGAGAGGGAATATAGGTGGTGGTGGTGGTGGTGTTGGTCTCGTGTTGGTCGATGGTGGTAACGTTGGCGAACTTGTTGTTGGTGGTTGTGGTAGTGTTGACGAGTGTATTGGTAATGGTGATGATGATGGTAGTGTCGTTGTTGGTGGTGGTGGTGCCACCATATGGGGGTCGCATTTCCTCGATTGTAAAAAAGTGCCAAATATGATGACGATGACGACAACGTCGACAACGAGACGTCCTAGACCGGAAGTTGACGTAGGTGCATTACTTAAATCACTGGCTAACAAACAGGGAAGGAAATATAGTTTAGATTCGGTTAAAATGTCATTGGAAGCAATATTGCAACAGGGCGTTAGCACCACGCAAGCATCAGAGATGTATGGTATCAATCGATCTACCCTGCAATTTTATTTGAAAAAATTAAACGTCGTCAGGAGAAGATGGAGACAACAGCCTAATAGTTTGGTCCAACCTAGACATTCTTAGTGCGTTCCCCTTTGTTTTATTCTCTGTATGTATCATTTTTAAGGGGGTTCGCATTATTGTGTATTTATTTATATTTTACTTTTTTTAATGCAGAAAAATCCATAATCAATATGGGAAATGGTGCTTATTATTATTGTTGTAAAGTTAGATCAGATGATTCAATGGGGGATATTAACAGTTCCTTTTTTATTTTTTGTTTGTATTCGTTTAGGCTATACTAGCGAGAGTTTATGGTTTATGGGTGTATGTTTAGATTATAGGGAGATTGTTTAGGGAAATAAAAAAAAGAAAAAAAGTAAACAAAAAAATAATAATTAACGAGTGGACATGTTCGATGTGTACTACTACATTCTCTGTGTTTCTCTCTTTCTTTTTATCTATTAATTAATTTTTGGGGGCTTTGAGTTTCTAATAATTTATTTTTTATTTTTTTAAATGTCTTATTAAATCTATGTGATAAAGATATAAGTGCAATACGAATGAACTATTTTTAATTATATAATATTATCATTTAATCGTTTACGGTAATCATTGTTTCAATTTGTTCTTTCTCTTGATTTATTTATTTATTCCTTTTTCTATCTATCTATCTATCTCTTTCTATAATTGTCGATATATACATATTATATATATATTTACCAGCTAGGCTGTGTATTAAATGCATTCGGGCATTGTAATTAAAAAAGCGTCCGAGAGAATAAAAATAATAAAGAAAATTTGCTGTAAAATAATATACGAGAGATATCTGTGCATTACGCCATGCACCACATGTGTATGCGTGTGTGTATGAATGATATATGGTGTATTTGTTTAATGCGAGTATATTATAATCCTTTCCGATGAAATTTCGTGAATCTTGAAATTGTAAAATGTATTTTCAATTTTTGGAAATATTGTCAAATTTATTAATATTAATTTCAAAACAATCAAATTGTTAGTTATAAAAAAAAAAAATGAAGAAACTAAAAAAAAAAAAGAGTCAACACTTACTAGTTGTAATTTATAAATATTTTAGTGGTCCTGTTAAAAGAAGATTTTCGACAACCGCGTGATCGAGCTTCTACATTTATCGGTAATTACTATGACGATATTCGTTTAAATGGAAAACTACATGCTATTCTAAAGGGAACTAAAAAGGATTGTAAGGTTTGTTCTTGCCGAAGCAAACCTGGCGGAAGACACGAAACAACGTATTATTGCGATACTTGTCCGGATAAACCAAGGATCCATCTTGGCGAATGTTTCTTAAATTATCATACCAAAAGGAAATACAGATATTAATCATACCAAGAGTTTTAAGTTTTTAAAAGATGTCGAGAATTACAGATATATAATATATATATATATAAACAAACAAAACAGATAGAAAAAAAATATATATTATTTTTTTTTTTTAATAAATTATTTTATATAATATTCTCTTTTTGTAAATTATATTGTTTTTATGAAAAATCAAAATTGTATTGTGTTATGGTGTTTTGTGTTAACTGTACGATGACACACACCTGTTGTTATACGTCGTGTTCACATATGTGGAAAATAATCACGAGTGTTGTATTAATTCGTTCGATTGCGAAGAAAAAACAAATTTCGGTGCTAAATAAAAGGGTTTATTTGTGATATTTTAATTAGAAATGGTAAATAAATATTTATGTGGAGATGATTATTTATAATCAACGTTTTAGGATACAGTAATTTTGGTTGAATATAAGCATTATTGGGGTAGTATCGAAAGGGTTTTTATTAATTATGTTAATATAAAAAGTACCAATTAAAAAAGCACTACATATTTTCGTGGATTAAATGTATAATATTATACAAATGGGTGGTGTTAATACGTTCATAATTTAGAAAACAACAACTTGAAATATTAATAATAATAATAATATTAATAAAAGAAGAACGTGTAAAATTCAAGGTTTAGAACATCGTTTTAAGGAAACACCAAGAGCCTTTTTTGGACCACGAATTCTTCTTCTTCTTCTTTCTTATTGTTTTTTTTGGGGGGTTCTTTTTTTTTTTTTAAATACCTCTGTAGAGAATTATTTGTTTATGTTCCAAGGTTTTACCAGGAGAATAATGCCAATCGCGAGATTACAAAGAATATTGGGAACCAGGTTGTTCATAAAGGATTCAAATGAAGAAATTCCAACTGCGATTGAAACAACGGTACTTCATCGATCGTCTAAAAAAAAAAGAAGAATTAAAATTTATAGTTTTTGGTTATGAAAAAAAAAAAATGTTTATTTTATTATATAACGTCCATGTTATATATGTATAATATTCGGACTTAAACTATACCAAAAAAAAAAGGAAAGAAANAATGTTTATTTTATTATATAACGTCCATGTTATATATGTATAATATTCGGACTTAAACTATACCAAAAAAAAAAGGAAAGAAAAAATAATACTTTCAACTAAAAAAAAAAAAAAACGTGAGAAAAATAAGATAATGTAACATTTTAAACGAACTTACGTAACTAAGATTTTTTCATCGAAAAAAAAAAAAAAAGAACAAAACCAAATAGTCACTTATTTTATTTAATTAATATTCATTAATGTTAGTAACATGGGTGATATTATTCTTTATATGGATTGATAAGGGTACTTCATACGCTGAAAAGGTTGTTGGGGAGGTGGGGGGGGGCTAGAGGTTATATAAATAAGACGATCCTTGAAGGGATAATTCATATCTTCTTTGCACTACCTTTGGTATCAACCTTCTATATGAGGTATTACTTATGCGTTGCTAGTAACGAAAGGGTTAAAGGGCGTCTACACAGCATATACATTTTTTTTTATATTACATTACATGGATTAGCTAACTCATTAAATTCTATTTTTTATTTTTTTAAATCGTGATTAGGAATTCTTATTTTTGATAATATATTTAAAAGATCGATTGTTTATATTAACACTTGATGGATCAATTTTACTTGTTAATTTATAGTTATTAAAGTAATAGGAAAATATCGGAAAGGATTAAATAATTACTTGCATAAGTGTGTGAGAATGATTGTGTAAAATATTATTCGTCGTTGTTCGTTGTGAAGAAGGTGGTGATGGTGGTGATGGTAGTTGATGGGTGGGTGCTGATTGTGTCGTCATCGTTGTCATTGTCGTCAATTATTGTTTCTTGTCGTTGTTGGTTGTGTTGCGAATTAACGAAGATTATCCAGATGAAAAGTAGGAATAAGAATATAAAAGAAAAATTCGTTCATTCTCAAGAAGGGTTAAAAACAAAGGGTGAAAAAGCTAAAATAAGATTAGAGGGTAAGGTTGGAAGAAGATAAAAAGGTGGTTGGTGGGTGACGAGAAAAGAAGAGGGATATTCGACCATCCTATTTTTCAATGTTTTTTTTTCCCCCCCTTTTCGCTAAATTATACAACTAATAATACTTCTACTAGAGAATTGCAACTTATTCTTCTTCTCTGTTGTGAAAATAAAATCACACAACCAATCAAGCAGTCCCCTCCTCCTTACCCTCTATTTTTATAACTATCTATCAGGGCCGTATTTATTTGAAAGATTCAAACACACACAAAACTAGGTGCAATATCATTTTTTACTTTAGTATTGTGAACAGTCATTGTTATTTCTCGAGAGAGAAGAAAAATTTGGATCATCTATATTTAAAAAAAAAAAAAAAAAGATTGAAAGAAGAAAATGTTAATTAGGGTTGATGATGGGGGGGAGGGTATTGAATTAAAAAACAAAAATTAATTTAATGTTCGAATTAATGGTAGGAGATGGGGACCAGGGTAGGGGTTTTTTTTTACGTGCTTCTTTGATATTGCAATTTTATTAAAAATTCCTCCTTACATTTTATTCGAGAAATGAAACAATTGATGAAGAAAAACATAAATGAAAGTAAAAGATAGAATTTGTACACTAATAAAAATAAATACAGAAATAAAAATTGTATTGTTAAATAAGTGAAAAAAATTTCACTACTGAAATCATTACTGAAAAATATAACCGTTATTAGAATATTATGGACGAGGAGGATTATCGAAAGGAGATTTACTACCAGTGAGACTGCAAGCTCGAGATTGGGCACATTTTCCAAAGCATATAGACCCAACGCCATCGAAATTAAGGCCATCGAGAGCCTGTAAAGTTTGTTCGAGAAATAAAAAACGTAGCGAAACAACGTGGGAGTGCAAAACATGTAAAGTTGCATTACATGTACCAGTATGTTTCGAAAGATTTCATACTTTTGACAATTATTAATATTATTCAGAAATAATAATAATAATAATAATCACTCGAAATATTATCAAATTTTTATACCCTTTTTTTTTTTTTGTTCTGTAATGAATTTTGAAATATCCACATTAATTAATCGTAGGATAAAAGGGGGGCTTCAACTTATAATTAATTTGTTTTAACTATTCTATCGATTTAAAAAAAAAAATGCGAATTTTATATTATGATTATTAACATAGTACAGCGAGTTATTTAATTATTTCATAAAAATAAATACAAGAAAAAACACGATAGAATTTATTTGAATTTATATATATAGATATATACTTTATAAAGATTTCGTTAATGTGTTGCACCTAGGATTTTAAACAAAAAAATATAATATATAGATACGGTCCTGCATATCTCTTGTAATAATAATAATAATAATAATATAGTAATAATAATAATAATAATAATAATAATAATAACAACCCTTTTTCATACCGTCTCACCGAATAAAATCGTGCCAATAATTTTCTTTTTTCCGTCCTTGATTATAACAAGAAAAAATGAACAAAGAAAGATAATACTAGATACGATAAAAAAAATAAAATATAAATAAAACTATAAAAAATAATTAATTATTATTGTTGTTGTTTTTCTCTCTCTCTCTATATATATATATTAGACACTCCTCACATACACACACGTATACGAGGAAAAAATATTTGAATGGCTTAACCCTTTGAGTGCTGTCAGACTTCGTTATATATAATGCATATATCCTTTATAAAAATACTAATAAAAAAAACTATGACACTTAAACATTTTTTATTTGCTTTTCATAAAAGATATTTTGGGAGGATACCCAGCAGATAGAGTAAAAGATACAGAAAAAAGAGTTCATATGGAAGACTTTCCTTTTCTATACTATGCCTATTCTATACTATACTATGCCGTCTGGCGACACCACAGTGGTGACGTGCGCAAACTAGCGGTCAACGGCCGGCGACATTACAGTGGTGTCGTGAGCACAGTATAGCTTAGTGGTTGGCGACAGCACTTTAGTATCTTTTGCTTTCTGCTGGTGCTTTGTTTCGGTAACAATAAGTTACACAAGTCATCAAGTTTTTTTATTTGTATAAGTTCTTGTGCCCTTTTATCATGGCAGACGAAAGAGACGATACAAATATTTACGACGAATGCGCGGACGTCTTGTCTGACGTTCCGGACGACTTGGCCGATTGGGAAGACATTGAAAGTCAAAAAAGTGAAAGTGAAGCAGAATCGTCGGAGGATAGTGAAATACTTCCAAGAAGAATTCGGCAAACGCTACTACGGTTGCCAACTGATTCGGATGAGTCAGACGAAGAAGACAGTGCACAATGGTCAGAGTTTGATTTACCGAGGACCAATAATGAATTTAAAGGATCTCCGGGTCCAAACATATTTCCTAAGGATACGCAGAGCGTCGAGGACATCACAGGATTATATATTGGGAACGATTTATTTGAATATATTTGCAATGAAACCAACAAGTACCACAGTCAAAATTACGATAAAAGGAAACAGGATAAAAAAAATGCCAAATTTGTGGATGTTACGGCACTCGAACTGAGAAAATGGTTTGGGCTTGTTATCCTTATGAGTATTGTAAAAAAAGCAAGGATCGATGATTATTGGTCAACGAATCCGTTGATAGACACACCGATATTTCGCAAAACGATGTCCCGCAACCGATTCAGGCAAATATTATCATTTTTACATTTTTCTGACAACAACAATAAACCGAATAATGTCGACCGGCTTTTCAAAGTGCAATTCATAATTGATTACTTTTCCAAAAAGTTTAAAGAAAATTTTAATCCAAGTCAAAACATTTCAATTGATGAAAGAATGATACCGTGGCGTGGACGGTTGCATTTTAAAGTTTACAATCCGTCGACAATTACGAAATATGGCATACTCATTCGGATGATGTGTGATTCGATTACGGGATACATTTCTTCATTCAAGATATATTCCGACGTTGGACAGTCTTTAGCAAAAACAGTAATGGAACTATTGACACCTTCCTATGGAAAGTGGCATCACCTCTACATGGATAATTATTACAACAGTGTAGAACTTGCAGAGAATTTGCTTGAGAAGAAAATTCGAGTTTGTGGAACAATAAGGCAAAATAGAGGATTTCCGAAAAAATTAAAGCGCGCAAATGTCAATGTATTTGAAGCTTGTCATCAACGGAAAGGTGAAGTACTCGCACAGGTATGGAGAGCTTCGGAAACTAAAACGATACGAATGATCTCTACAATACATAATGCCACTTTGATTAAAACGCAAAGAACATGTAGAAAAACTAATTGCACAATAAAAAAACCTGTAAGTGTATTAGACTATAACAAATACATGAAAGGAGTGGATCGGGCAGACCAATATTTGAGTTATTACCCTATATACAGAAAATCTATAAAATGGTCCAAAAAAGTTTGCATGTATCTTTTTAATTGCGCATTATTTAATGCATTCCGTACATGTCAATATTTCAATACAGAACAGAAGAGTCTCCGATTTCACGATTTTTTATTGAAAGTGTGCGATTCTTGGATAAAAGACCATGTACCTGGTTCTGAGCAAAACTTGGAAGTTGCCACTACATCGCGTGCGTCTCATCATGATCCGATTGACAGACTTTCAGGTCACGTAAAGCAACACCAACTAGTCCTTATTTCCGAAACGAATAAACGAAAACGAAGAAACTGCCATGTATGTGCCAAAAACAAAAAAAGAAAAATAACAAACTTAATGTGCAAGTCTTGTAAAGTTGCCTTACATCTTGGAGACTGTTTTGCTGCGTACCATACGAAAGAGAAATACTAAGTACCAAAGAAAATGCAAATAAACAAATATATAAAAGAAACAAATTTTGTAATTATTTACATATGTATATCTTCGAAATTTCATGAAAGTAGGGGAAAACAGGGTTGAGAACTTATGAGAACTAACGATGAGATTAGTAAAACTTAACAATTTATAAATCTCCCGATAATGTCAAGAACAGCCGGCAACAAGTCAAGTGATCCGAATTAGCGCTGCCGGCGCCAAGCGAATAAATATTTACGAATCGTGCGGACGGCAAAGTGTTAATGGAGAGGCAGCATTTCCCTAGATCTTGCCTAACTAAAGAAAATGCAAAACGTTCTTCGCGACGCAGATGCGTTCTTTGCGCAAAAAATAATCGTACATCTGAATCGCGTTACGAATGTACAATTTGTAACGTTGGCTTGTGTATTGAAAACCCTGCTTTTAGATTTATCACACAATACAAAATTAGTATTACATTTTCTATTTATTATAAAAGATATCATTTACTACTGTTAATTTTTTATATTTTTTTTATATTTATTACTATTCATGTTATTGTAGTTTAATGAAATAAATGGTTATTAAGGCTTTTTAGATCAGCACATAATTTACTTCAGTAACAATCAATATTATCTTATGGACAGTCTTCACGGCGCACGCTTAACGACGCCCAACTCAGCACTCAAAGAGTTAAAAGTTCCAAAAAAACCCTTTTTTACTTTTCGTTAATGGTCTTTTCATCCCCTTTTAAAATTTCTCTTCATTTAACGTTCTAACAAATGTTAATTTTGTCATTGAATCGATTAACAACATTTCAGAAAGAAAGTTCTTGCCGATTTACAAGTAGTGATAGTGTGTTTCTGTACATATTCATAGAAAAAAATGAAATAAATTCAAATTAGTACGAACTTTCTTAGAAATTTATATTCATTATATATCAATTATTTAACATATTAATGCATTTAATAATTTGCAGTATTACATATAAATATATATATATATATATATATATTTATATATTTATAAATTTTGTGTATGATGTATGTTTTACCGCTTCTTTGGCATGGACGTGTTATCTCGCGACGACGATATTTGCTTGTATCGGGTGACAGACGTATTAAACTACAACTTGGAGAGTAATTTTCAACAGAAAGGGAACAGGAATTATCTTCATCCGCTTCGCTTTCATTCGAGATGTTTCTTACAGAAATTACCACCAACAAAAAAAAAGCTACATCCTACGAAGCGTTGTATATGGTGTAAAACAAAATCAATTCGTAAAGAAACTAGCTATTATTGTAAGAATTGTGGTGATGTCCCGTTATGTGCAATTCCCTGCTTTGAATTGTATCATACAGTATAATAATAAATTTCAAATATCTTTAACCCTTTGATTGCTACGGGCGCAAATGTGTTGTCCAGCTAAACTATTGGTGTAGCCTATGGGCTCATATGTGCGTCCAAAGTAAGTCAGCGATATATAGACTATGAAAGCAAATGCGCGCTCGGATAATTTTTGCTTGTTTAATGCTGTCTTAATATCCTATGCTCGGAAATGATTTCTCTTTTACATGTCCAAAATACACTCGCAAAAATCTTAAATCTCGTTGTTTAGCAACGAAAATAATGAAATTGTCGTTTATTTGGTCAGTCATTCTCTGTCTTAAATTCGTGTCTCATTTGTTGCGAGAGAGAGAGGTGTGATATCATTGCGTTATTAGCATACTTATTGTAATATTACATTTTTATTAATAAATAATCTACTTTTGTGTAATTAAAAAATAATAAATAAAAATTAATAAATTTTTTGTTTAGATTTACAGTACTTATGTTACTTACTGTTTTTATTTGTTCATATTTTTCAATTTCTAATATCCAAATATATACATTATATAAGTTATATATTTAAAAAAAAATGTATAGTTATAATTTATAACTATCAAATGATGGCGTTTTAAAACATTACCATTGGTGAATAAACAATATATGTTAAAAATAAAAAAGGAAATTATTTGATCCGCTTTGCAGTGGACAAAGTAATAGTAAATTGGATTATAAATTAAATTACAATGTATTAATACGCCTCTTATAAGAAGATGATCCATATTGCCTGAAAAAAAGCATTCATTCAGTCCCCAGCGACGACCACTACTGCTGGCCGCACGCCCGCTCATGCTAAGCGCTTCGACATAGAGTAGCTAGCAGTCAAAGGGTTATAAATCAAAGCTTTACTTTTTATTATATACCATTACTAAAATGACCGCTTTACCGAATGAAAGTTTTTAATCTAATAATGGAACACGCGAGATATGTCGTTTGTGGCAATAGACGAACGGTACTACAGTACAGCATAATAATACGTCTGTGATCTTGTACAAGCAGTTTCGTCGTCGCGAGATAACACGTCCATGCCAACGAAGCGGTTCAATAATTATGACATATTCAATTAAATAAATAGAAATTTTAGAGACAATCGATATACATACATATATACATATACTTAATACTAGCAAAAAAATAAAATTAAGATTACTTTTAAAACTTGATAATTATTAATCGTGTGATTGTATTTTTTCTTTTCTTTCTTTCTGTTATTTTTTTTCTTTTTTCATTTTTTTCCCTTCGTTTGTTTCCGTTTCTTCCTCAACCAAACAACATTTTGTGTTTTTACGTTCCAATAAAAAAAAAAAAAACCAAAAACACCAATTTTCTTCTTCCTTTTTTTTTCTTAACATTTTTGTTCTTCTTTCTTTCCTTTGGTACAAATTAATGAAGCAGGCCTTGCAACATGGCACGTTACCGGTGATCGAAGTAACGCAGGTGGTGTCGTCGGTTCCGTAGCTGGTGCACCAGGAGCAACGGTGCAGGATGAAGTCTTCCTTGCAGCTCAGGAGGCCGCAGAACAGGCCCACCGGGAATCACAAGGTAGGCTCATCATCTTCATTTATTTAATATGTCTGGCCCACCGTAACAATAGGCACTACTTACTACTACTACTCTACTACTACTACTACTGCTACTACTACTATTGTGAATGTGTGGGATGATTATTTATTTATAATAATCATCATCCCTTCACCGATTCATTAACAGTTAGTAAAATTATTCTTTTTTTAATGTTATTATGATTATTAACACCCTAGATGGTTGTTTGTTCTATTACAAAATTTACAATCATACAAAAATACAAAAAAAAAATATATATATATATGTACATATATATTAGTTTTTGTTAAGCAACAATGATGATTGGATATAAATTATATATATTTTTTTTTCAATCAAAATTTGATAAAACCATCATTACTTCTTATTAATTATATTTGTATTTTTTTAATTTTTTTTTTTTTGCTAAATTATTTTCGTACTTTTATAATAATTATTATTGTTTTAAAAGTTAGATTAACAATTAGGGTAATATACATATCTGTGTATATATGTAGTGTATATATATATATTACGAAAGATTGGATTGAAGGAAGGAATATATTTGATATATAAAAATGATTATATAATATGATTATGAACAAAAGCAAATGAAAATATAATTATATAACGAAGAGAGAGTGCCAATTGCGCAGGTTCGCCAGGTTGGTTTTTTTTTGTTCTATTTAAAAAAAAAAAAGGGAGAAAAATATATATAATCTATATATATATATATTATTTTTCCCTTTCGCTGTCGGATAACGTGGTACAAACTTAGAATTCCGGGTATGTTCAAGAGTAGCACGGTCTCTGAAAAATAAAAACAAATAAGATAATTAATCGAAAAAGAAACAAATGAAACAAAAACGACATATACATACTTGTATTATATATATATATGAGATATGTGACGAAACACACACATTATAAAACACATACACATATATGAACACATATATATATATATATATATATATATATATATATATATATTTATTCACAAGGTATGTAGTTTAAAAAGAAAATATATTTATATATTTTACTTACATACTTATAATCCTTTAATAATACACGTACACGTATTACACATACGTTAATTACATATATACAACTTTTTATCGATCTAAATATATAATTTTAATTTTTATTTTCAAACAGAAATAATGAAAATATTTTAAACGAGCGACGTTATGATTGCGCACCCCAATGAAAATGTGTTGCAACGAAAGAACAAGATTTTAGATTTTTCTTCCGCTTCTTCTTCTACTGTATATAAAAAAAAAGTAACTTGTTCATTTATCTTAATCTATTATCTGTATTTTTTGGTTTCTTTACTGTGTGCTGCTGGTTGTGTAATATTTTTCCTATCTAGTTTTTTGGTTTTTTTTTCTTCATTCGTTCATGACATATTTTGTTGGAATGTACAACGCGTGACGTCGCTTAGTTTAAATTTGTCCTCTCTCTCCTTCAAACAAAAGGAACAAACTAAAGAAGAGAGGAGAAGAAAAAAAGAGCCAACCAAACCTACTCTCTACAAGGCTCTTTTCAAAAATATCTCTCAACACGCACACATGTTGTACGGAGAAAACTTATATTTCAATCATTTTACAATTAGATATTATTATTACAAGTAATTAGTATAAATATTTGAATTTGAATATTTAAGTATATTTTCAAAATAGATTTTTCTTTTTATTCCTCTTCCATTACTATTACTATTTACTATTACTATTTACTACTATTTACTACTACTTCTTTTTATTATTATCAATGGAATGATTTAAAATTAATTTAAAATATGAATATATTATATGAAGGATTAGATAAAATTAGATATAAATTAAATGAAATAATTAATTAAGGTAAATAATGATTAACATCAAAAAGGTAAATCCCTCCTCCTAAGTATAAATAATTATTAAATTAATTAGAACAAAAATGGGATAATTTGAGAAATTAACGATTACGAATGATTTCTAATTTTTATCAATTATTATTAAATTTATAAATAAGAAATTGTTTATAAATAATTAACGAATTAAGCGTGTTGAAACTCTCTTGATTGGTGTGCAAATATTTGATAAAATAACCATTAATATTATTTC